TTCCTGCTTTTTAACCTGCAATTCACTAAAACTGTCCTGCATCAAACCACTCTAGTTGGGGTATTCAAAATATGCAGGATCTACGGCCTACTTGGGTATCACTAAGATATACTAGCATTTGTGTGTACTGGTAATATAACAGTGAAGATATTATTTATCTGGAGCTCCAGCAGTGCAGTAGGTTCTATTGCTGATATCTCTGTTATTGCTCACACCAGCCTATTTGCTGTGAAGAAAATAACAGAATTACAAATCAAGCATGTAAGTGACTAGAAGTGTTTAAGTTCACTTGTCATGTTCCTGTCATTGGAGGAGAACTTAAGAAATCAAAAGATAGCAGTCTTACAGTGCTGTTACAGTTTTTATTCCAGGCAAGGAGCAGTGTTAGCCCACCTGCAGAATAAAGCAGTGAAATTCACACTGCACCTGGAAACTATCCATAGTCTTTGCCTTTGTGAAATCCCTTTTCTTGACATTGTGGCCTCAACTAGAAAAAGCTGCCACACACACTCTCACTATAGATACTCCTGAGATCCTATTTCAAACGCATTCAGGTTTTGTGGGGTTTGAAATACCTGTGCCCAATTGTTCTTCCCCATGTGCCTCTCCTTTGCTTTGACCTTTTATCTGAATCCCATCCAACAATTCACTTCTCTCCACACATGGATCTCATCAACACAGAAGGGAAAATGGTAGGACGATGCCTGGTCAGTGAAGGGCTTCTCCAGAAGAAAGAGACATCTCAATACTTGACATACTTTGGTGATGTGGGTGGGAAGTCTGTCCGGCTATAGGGCAAATCCTGCTAGGTCCTGTATATGCTGACCCACACTTTTCTGAATTCAAGAGCTCTCTGCCTAGTTAAAGCTCTGATGTGTTATGATAGCATATTTGTGACTTAAGATACTTGTTTCTTGTGTTCTTGCACTGTGTTCACTGTTTGTTTTTCTGTTCTACTGCTGAGGAAATTGTATTTTTTCAGGTTTGGGATGAAACTCTTGCCAAATCTGCAGAGGCTTGGGCTGCTACATGCATTTGGGACCATGGGCCTTCCTACTTACTGAGATTCTTGGGCCAGAACCTGTCTGTAAGAACTGGAAGGTAGGCAGATACTGTACAACACAGTTATTTTGTCAGCCTTTGAACAGCCTTCAAGATCCAGATCTTAGATTGATGCAAGTGTTATTCAGTATTCTGGCTATTATTGATGCTATCTATGTTCATTTGGCTTAAGAGTATTATTGCTTAAACCTGTGCCCCTAGTGTTGCTTGGAGAACTGTGTATGTAGTGCGATTTACATCAGATAAGCAGCAGAAAATTTTGAAATATCTAAATCTAAAATGGCATGTTTTTCTGTCTCTATTTTAAACAAACCCAGGTATCGATCTATTCTCCAGCTGGTAAAGCCATGGTACGATGAGGTGAAGGATTATGCTTTCCCTTACCCTCAGGATTGCAACCCCAGGTGCCCCATGCGATGTTATGGACCCATGTGCACCCATTACACACAGGTTATATGAATTACATTCTTCTATTCAAACTCTACTGTCCAAAGCTGGACTTCTCTGTGATTTATTTATAGCTCTCTCTCAAATGAATGTATATGTGTATATATATATATTTATTTTCAATTTGGACTTCACCAATAACAAATATTTATTCAGATGGTTTGGGCCACTTCCAATCGTATAGGCTGCGCCATCCACACATGCCACAACATGAACGTCTGGGGATCTGTATGGCGACGAGCTGTTTACTTGGTATGCAACTATGCCCCAAAGTGAGTTGCTTTCTTTTATTTTATTTATTTTTTCCGTTTATTTTTATACTTTGTGCATGTTTCAGTCCTCTCATAGGGCTGCTTACTCCTTTTTTCTGCATATTGACCTCTATTTGTGCTTTGTTCTGTGGGCTACTTCTTCCTTCTAACTTCACATCTGTACATACAGCAAATGCATGACTTTGGTATGTACAAGGAGGAAATCCTTTGTGCTGACTCCACTTTACTCTCTATTCGCTATTTCTTCACTTTGTTATATATACTCACGGTGAGCTAGATTTCCTCAGGTGAACAATCCCACTGTAGATCAGGCTGTAATTTACTGTAAACATGTTGTTGCCCACAAGATACCTTTGCTTCTGACCATGCTATGTAATGACATCCATAGCATAATTTTCCTACCAAGTCCATCTACCTAAGTTCAGCGTCTACAAATCTCATCTTGCCTTTCATATTAGGGTCCTTCAAAGTATAGATCATAGACACCCAGGAAGTGGACCTACAACTGGTAGCTGTGCAGAGATCTGTTCTAGGTTGAAATGAAGAAATTATTTTTTTTCCCAGCATTTCCCAAACTTCCATCTGGGTGCAGAATGAATCAATAAAATGTGACTCTGAGAGAGCTTTGATTTGAGGTCTGGTTTGGGCCAGTTTGGGCTGCTTCAAAAGCAGCATGGACAGTGTAAATGGCTGGTTTCTCTGACTGTATAATATTAGTCAAAGCCATAGTTCTATACAGGAATGTAAGTATAATTAATTGAGCATGTTTCCCATAAATTCTCAGTGGCAGAGGTCCATTTGTGGTAAAGAATATGCAAGAATATGTAATTATTCTAGTTGTTACAGGGATAAAAGAATTTTTAAAGTTTTTGCAACTTAAAAAAAGATAGGGTTTAGAAAGAAAACTGACTTGGAAAAAAACTGCCTTTGTAAATCAAGGAGATTTGCTCTGTCCTTCTGTCTTTGATATTTACTAGCAAAGGGTGGTAAAAAGTGAATGTGAGGAACAAAGATGAGGCAGCAAAAACTGTATCTGACTTTTAGCTCCACAATATGGACAAAGTGAAATCAAAGTTTATAAGAGAAATCCAAATAATATTTTTGTATATCTCCATTTGAAAAAATAAATAAATTTAAAATTACAGCCTTCCTAGAATACAACTTTCAAGTTCATATATAGGAAAAGAATGGTTTTACACATTAGCCATTACTGAAAACTGATGCATTGTTTGCATATCAATTATGACATTTTGCCTTTTCGCAGTCTAAAGATCCCATTGTTTCTCAAACAGTAAACCAAAGTCTGGAGTTACAGGCTTCTTCTCTGTGTGACATTTTGAGCAGACCTTTGATTCATAGGTAGTGGAGTCAGGATTTTCATACTTGCTTCTTGCACAGTCCCAAAAAGGATATTGAGTGGTCTTGCCTGGCTTAGGGTTATATTCCTAAGAATTAATTAAATTGAGTTAATTATGTTTGGCTTATAGTCCTTTGGCACACGTGCCGAAGTCTCCTTGCTAGTCAACAAAGGCTGTGTCTTTCTGAGTAACCAGCACAGCAGAAAAGCCTCCAAAGAAGAAGGCAGTGAATATTACAGCCCCAACCTCGGTTATTAAGATTGGAATTCGGCAGATTTAGAGTTTAGAATTCCAATAATTTTCACTGCTGCCATGCTATTATGCTGAAAAATCAGGGGAAAAATGTTTAGGAGGGTAACTACAAAATTTGGAAAGGCCCTGCCCCTGGTTATCTAATGGACTCCACAAATCAGCCATGCATTGCATAGAAAAAATCGCAGAAATCAGCTTTCAGCAAATTCTTTCTGGAGTTCAATATCTGTTATCAAACTAAGTATATTTCCTGAGCACTCAGTCTGCTGTACCCATTTGGAAGAGAACTAGGAATGAACAAATTATTTGAGAGATTCCTACTTTCTTCCAAGGCAAAACCCAGACCAAGGCTTTTGATCCAATATTATTGGCTGGGAGGTGGGGGATGAGAAAATGTTTCATAAATAATTGCATTACTCACTGCTATATCGCATCACATGCAAGCTAGAGGAAAGTTCTCTGCTCAGTGAGACATAGCATTTAAATAAAAATCTAATTTTAACTTTCTTTGTGCCTACATCATGAGTATTACATGAGTCTCTAAAAGCTTGAGGTTTATATGAGCACCTAAAAGTCTGGATGGGTTTTTCAGACGTTCCTAGATCTTTCAAAATTACCTCTTTTCACATGATCACTCTCCAGACTTATACCTCTTTCTCCCCAGGTTCTATTACACAGCTTTGTTCACCAGATGGGAGCCCTCCTCCTCCTTCCTTTAACACCTATGAGACCACTACAAATGCCCAAATACAGTTCTTTTTAGTACATTACTGGAGTGAATACTTTTCATCTTCCCTTTTCTCCGACCATGAATTCAGCCTCAGAGCTTCACAACATGGACTTAGTGTGATGCAACATGAGAATAAGTTTTTACTCATTTTGTTTTTCCACCCTACAAAACCAAGCATTTTAAGATAACTGCCAGCCATAAAAGTGTTCGAGGAAAGCCTTACATCAATGCTTAAGCTGCTAATTTCTGATAAATATAGCCCTCCAGTAAAAAATAATCTGCCCCAGACTTGGCGAGTCAAAAATCACCTGGCTGTAGAAAAAACAAGAGGAATGGGACTTCATCACACTCACTAAAGGATATGGAATGGACCACTGGCCTTGGATGATGTGGTCACTCTCCTGCTGGTATTTGGGCACTGGTAGATCAATATTTGTCAGTAACCTGCAGAAATACATTCAAATATGTTTTCAGTAACAAAGCATTTATAGAATATCTCTGAATATATTAAATTTAATAACTCAATTCAAGTATGATTTAATGATTTTTTTTTTCCATCTCTCTGAAATTCCTAAGCATTCTTTTCCTGTTTTTATTTTCAGGGGGAATTGGATTGGAGAAGCACCATATAAAGTAGGAGTCCCATGTTCTGCTTGCCCTCCAAGCTATGGAGGTTCTTGTACTGACAATCTTTGTTTCCCAGGAGTAACGTCAAACTACTTATACTGGTTTAAATAAGTTAAGGTTTACATTTATTTTTTTTAAAGGATGAGTAACAAGAAGCTTGTATATTGAATTTTGCACATATTATATATAGAGAGATATTGTAATAATACTCTGATGTTTTCTTTTTGTATGCTTTTGTATAATTAGCTTTCGAAGTATAGCATAATTTGGTTTTAAAACTTTGGGATTTAAGACTCATGTAAACTCTTTTAGATTAACATTTTGTTAACGGAGAGCAAAATAATTTTCACTTTAGCAAATTTAACTTCCTAAAGATTAGCTTCCATTAAAAGCACATGAAAAGGTAGAATATTAGTTCCTCTCCAAAATAATAGTTCCAGAAAGAGAAGGGTCATGGTTTAATATGGTGCTTTAAAAATGGAGTGCGACATGCAAAGCAACAGATTGTTCTCACACTCCCAAATGGTTCCTCACAATTACACCCCTGCTTTCACCTCCAACATCAATGGGACTCGGAGCAGAGAAAAAATGTGCAAGAGTAACTGCAGGATATTACCTACCTCATGCACAACATCCGTTTGATTATGGCATTTCAAGAGTTCAGCACACGGCTGCTGCTATCATCAATGATGCCTGTGTGCAGACAGGAAAGTTGGAGAGCCACACTGGGCCAGATGCAGTGGCTGGTAACTCATGTGCCTGAAGTCTCATTTGGACAGAAAGCTACATCACTTTAAATATACTAGTATAAAAACACTGCCTAACTCTACCTTCCTGTGTTTCTGAACACAAGTCATAACGGTATGATGGTACTTTGCAGCAGTGTATTTATTCTTGGACAGGAAGGTAAAGAAATAATTGCTACAAAGCAACATATATCACTACATGACATCCATACTGTCTTTTACACTATAAGTTTGCTAGTATATGTGCTATTCCTTCTGACTAAAGCTCAGCTAAGTGAAACTTTCAAGGATAGATCAGACCTAAAACTTAAAAGTAGATAAGAGGGCTTCCAAATAAAAGACATCAGGCAACTTTTACGTTTCATACATATTTGTGATGACATTTTCAAAGTTCTAAAGCAATTGGCAGTGTGCTATTTCATGAAAATATCTATATGAATGTATAATAACCAAATCCGTTATTCATGTCTTCCCTGCCAAAAATGGAATGCCTTATGGGTGCTATAATAACAATTATAGAGGATCTACACTTTAAGCTATAGTGTAATGCAAGTAGTTTTCCTAAAAAACAGATTCAAAAAAAGAGGAAATTGATTATGTCTGCAACAATTACGATGTCATTGAAATAGCCTTGAGTTTTGGCTTTGTATTACAGGGTAGAATGTACTCCACTTTAAATATATGTGTTTAGTCTGCTTGCACTGCTACATTTAGACCTCTGAAGTTTATGAACTTTGAAAAGTAGTACTGAGTAGAGCAAGCAGAAGAACAGAGGATAATTTCACTAGTGCTACATATGTATGTGTCTTTAAGTCACTAATTCAGCTCTTTTGAGGGTGTTTGAGACCATCTGTCATCAGAATCTGAAGTATCACATTGGTGATGTAAAAGAAAGATCTGAGTTTGAATTCTTAAGTTAGTTATTCTTTTTCTCCAGCAGGACAGTTAGGGTGGGGGGCAGATGGGCTCTAGAGTGGATTAAACATAACAGCCCCTCTTCATCTACCCACAACCTGATCCCTTAGAGAATGTCAGCAATTGATCTGTGGTGCTTCAGACATTTCTGGTTAGTGGCACTTCTGTACCTTACAGAACAATAACTAGGCAAGTGTATTTTCTTAGAATATGTCCATGTTTTAAAAGAACACTTGCAATAGTCTACTAGCTTATGTTTTAACAGTTGCAATATAAACAATTTTCCTTTTGGTTTAAAATTGGCTAGGACTTGGACAGTACTCAAATAAAAATCTGTCAAATGTGTTGACTGAGTAAAATCCCATCCTGTTTTGGGAGTGAAACCCAATCTCTTTGCATCACCATGTACACACTGAAATATTCAGTGAGAAAAAACTACTAGGTAGGTCACTAGCCCTCAACCAACCCAGTTTGTGGTGAAGATGCATGGAGCGAGCACATTTTTGTCCGTCATAAGAAATCTTCTCTAGAGAAAAATCTTCTCTAAAGACAGCACAGTGCAAACAGTGCATCTAGCCATTTTCAGTGTTTTTTTTATTTTTTTTTAAACTCTACAAGATAGGAAGCAGAGCATAAGCAAAACTTCAGGTTCAGCTGTGGAGCGTGCAACGGTAGGTCTAACAATACATGACTATGCACTTTGGAACCTGCAACTAGTATGTTGTATGGTATACTTTCCAAACAGGACTAGACATTGTAAATTAATTTATAATTCTGTAATTCAGCTGAAATTATTATAACGGGTATATATGTTACTGTATCTGTTACTCTTTAAGTTGCTACAAATACCTTGATTTTGTGGAATATTTTGTTTTCTGTTGATATAGAAAACTGCTTCTAACAAACATGTATGCAGGTTTTTTTACATCATCCCGTAATGGTGCTAGGGATTAACTATTGTAATCACACTGTAATTGACAGCAGCAAAAAATTATCTGGGTATAAGCTATTTCATATGAGCAGCTCCTGATAAAACCAGCCACAAGCACTTGACTATTAGTGGAATGTTTTTCATTGAGCAGAGAAGCTTAAAACTCATCAGATATTTGATTACCACATGAAATTTGCCCTTCCACTTTATTTATTAGGTAGTTACTGAATTTCTGTATTACCTATTTGAATCTCCCCAATTTCTATAATATTTTTCTCTTGGATTGGGCAATGACAATGCCAGTAAAGCTCTGCTTTGATTATCAGTGCTGCCTGACACCAAGTGCTGCTAGAACAAAAGCGCTGAAACTTGCAGAAGACTTCTGAAGTCTTGGTGGTGTATCTGCTCTGATGCATACTGAGGAAATGACTTGTTGAGTTGAAGGTTATGCTGAGGCAACCTACCCTGAGTTGCTATTCTGATAGCCTTGGAAGTTTGTACTAATTCCTTCTGAGCAGAGTGTTGTGCCTTTAAAGACAGAGAGATTAGCTCAGACTTCTGTTCTAAATATAAAATTATGAAATTATACACACTCTAAAATAAGGCTAAAATATTTTTTGTCAAATACTGTGAGAGGCATAAGACTAAAAATTAAGTAATTAATGTGATTAATTATTGAGTTCAGCTGTTTATAATATCTGCTTGTGATTTTCTGCCTCATTTAAACATCTAAGATGATGGGTAGCAATTGATACCTTTTGGTGCTAACCTATAGGTTCTGGTGCTGAAGTTATACAGTATTTTCATGGAATATGAGTTTTACTTCCAATATTACCATATACACTCCAGTGTTTGTGATATGTTTTTCAGCTAAGCATATAATTTACTACCACTCAACCAGATTTGCTTTCGAAGTTCCTTTTTGTGATTGTTTCAGGCTCTAATTAGAGTTTTATGTGCATCAGAGAGGAAAATTTATTCCTGTTCAAAACTAAAACAAACAGCACCCTCCTCTCATTGCAACAGTGAAGTGCCCATGGAACAAATTATGGGGAAAGTAAGGTCTCAGACAGTCATGACATCAGACTGATGCAGAACGGGTTTTAGTGATCCCAAATCTCTCTCTGGGGTAATAAATGACTTCAGAAAATCTAGGCTTGACATTGAACACCTGTCCTTGGGAAGCTGTGTGTTTCTCTTCATAGTTCTTCAGTTTGTTTACCTCAGAATTCTAGACGAGTTGGATCGGACCTCAGTGAAAACCATGGGAGGTTCAACATAACTTTTGCAGGAGTGAAAAAATTGGACTCCACGAGATCTTTATGGACAGGAACATTAGACTACCTGTGCCATCCCCACCAACTCTGGGAAATACCTTGGAACTCTGAAAGAGGAAACCTTTCAGAGCAAATGTGTTCTGTACGACAGCTGGGAACTAACAGAAAGAAATGTATATTTATATCCATATCTATGTCTATAGGTAGATGGCTAGATAGGTAGATGGATGTATCTGTTTATATATGATCTTCAAGGATCAAGTTGCAAGCATGGATGCCCCCTTGTGGTTGAGAATGCCAATAGATTTGTTTGATTTAATAGGCTTCCAAAGAGTTTTAAGGAAAAAAAAAAATGGCGTTGATTTTAAAGACTCATTACTTTGTCCATTGTCTTTCAGAAATGACATTCGCTAACTCCACCATTTCTGTTTTATGTGATTTGTAAGTACAGAACTCAATCACAGTTATATTAGTTGTTGGTTACTTATCATACAAAGTTTTATGAGTATGAGGCAAAACAGAGCTATTTAGATGTCAGAACAATCTTTAGAGGCATTAAATCAGATATAGTTTTTAAAAAGAAGGGAATAGGAAGTCTCATTACTCAGGTACTAAATTCTAATGATAAAATAAGAGTTTTAAAGGCCCAAATTGCTGTTGAAATTTGCCCATTATTGCTGAGTTTTCAAAACAAAACTGTTGCTTTTCTTGTCTAGAACAAAATGATCTCATGGAATCCAAGCACACAGCATTTTTATGGTGCTTTTTAAAACTTCAAAGTAGAAAATTTGTGTGCTCTGGTTGTCAGATCATACTTGGTCTCAAAGTGCACAAATCTTTCAATTTGGTTTTGTAAGGAGAACATTAAACTTCTGTCAGTAGTAACCTGAAATAAACACAACTTTCTCAAACTGCTTTCTTGCAGCAGAGAATAAATTGAAAATCAAGAAAAAAGATAGCAACAATTCATCTGGTTAATTCAAGAAAAGGAAAAATATCATTACTAATGACAATTTCAAGACTTTCCTACTGCAAAAGCTTCAAGTTCCCCTCAGGATATAGTTATTTATCTGTTAGAGAAGAAACTTTTGCTTATATTACAAGGCAATGCATTTTTAAATTTACAAGCTAATGGGAGACACATAAATTTTTTCTTGCTACCTCTACTCTGCTGAGCTCCCCTGAGAATGAAGTGAGAGAAAACCAGACTGAAATGGTTGCAATTCAGTATTATCTCCTTGT